CCCCATGATTTGTCAGAGTAGAACTGTGCTCCATAGCATTTTCATTGGCTGATCTTTCAGAAGTAGATTACCAGTCTTATCTTCTGAGATGCCTCTGAGTTGACTTGAACCCCCAACTTTTCAGTTAGCAGATGAGCACGATAATTATTTGCACCATCCAGAGACTCCTAGTAGGTTGCATTTCAGGAAAGGAAACTTGAATTTAGGCAACCAAAATCTTTTAGAATGGGCAGTAAGCATTCCTGCCCTTTGCTCCAGAAGAAATCATTCTTTCAAGGCTCTACACAAATCTGCTCTTTACTCCAGAAGGAAACACTATCTCTAGCTTCCAAAGCTATTTGTTATACAAACATCCTTCAAAAGATAACCTGAGACAAGGAATAGTAAGTGGCTTACTTGGAAGATGTGTAGAAACAAGACAAATCCATACAAAATTGTCTGCCAAAAATATATGAGTGAAACTGCTGGAAATATGTCATCTTCAAACTCAGTAGATAATACCAGCTTTCTCTACAAGTTTAACTCCCACCAACAATATATAGGATCTCCCACTTCTTTACCTGTTTGCCAATGCATATTTCAAATGTCATACATTTTGCTGACCTGATGCATATGAAATGCTACGCCACTTTAATTTCCATTTTTCTGGTTACTAATGAGATTTACTAATGCATAGGGTCGCTATGAGTCAGAAATGACTCGACAGCACCTAACAACAACGAGATATGTATATTCAACAAACATTTATTGTGCACCTATGATATACCAGGTACTCTTCTAAGTACTTGGACATCAGTGAACTTAAAGAAAAATCATGCACTTAAGAGTTTACATTCTGGCTAGGAGAAACAATAAACATATTAAGTAAATTACATTGCATGTTAGATGACATATGTTATGAAAGACATACAGTAAAGGATTAGGCTAAGTTAATGTACATTTATTGAACATATACTTTCCTGGTTTTCAGAATTGCCTGTTTACATCGTTTGCTCACTTTTCTATGGGTTGTTATTTTCTTACTATGTACTTATTCATTCATTTTGATGATCTTAGCTTATAGCCAAATGTTAATTTTCTCCAATTTGTTTATAATAAGTTTTGGCAGTAGGTATTTATATAATTTACTCTAAACAAATTTATCAAACTTTTCCTTCATGATCTGCATATTTTGTGTCTTTACATTTTCCTGTAATATTTTATATATTTTGTTTTCATGTGTAGTTTATTTTCTACTTGGAATTTTATCAGTACCATGTGTATGGTGTGAAAGGGATGAATTATTTTTTCTCCCATATGGATTACCAACTAATCCAGTACGATTTATTTAACTGAATGCATGTATTAATCCATCAACATTTATCATTTTTTTATTAGTCCCTTAAAAAGTCACCTCTAATATGATTCAAATTTCCTATGTGCAAATCTATTTCTGGGTCTTTCCTCTGTTCCATGGTTATATGCCTCTCCCTACTTCTACCCTTGCTTCCCTGTACACTATTGTCCAGAATTGCCAAGTGATCTTATGAAAATATTAAGATGAATCATTCCTTTGCTTGAATGGCTCCCCATGTTACTATGTATAAGCCAGACTCAACTCTAGGACCTACAAGGCTCTGAGCTATCTGCCACTCTGTCAGCCACATTACCTCTCTGAACTCATCCCCTGCTATTCTCTTCCTTGGTCACTCAAATCAAGCCA